TTGGTTAATTTTAGGAAGTATGGTAATGTTTATTATTATTCTTCTACGCCACTATTCAACTAATCCCGAAGTAACAAGCCACGTCACATAATAATTCGTGTCTTTCGGAACCGGAACTAAGAGATCAGCCGTTAGTTAATCAAAAGATTTCTGACGACGCGACGGACGTAGAATTTGCAAACATCGCACAACCGCTGTCTCAAATAACGACAGTCGTCGACAGTAAATAAACAAACTGTAAAACGCAAAAATCCTTAGGTCTCAAGGTCAAGGGGCTTCCTTTTACTAATAAAACAATAACTACGATGACTTGTACAAAGCTGTAAGCCGGGAGTGCATATTGTACCCGCAGAGTTTTAACAAGGCCGAGTGCCAGTGACACACATGTGTTATAAGTTAAATTTCGTGTTTCTTGCTGGTTAAATATTAATACGAATAATAGCTTACAAAAATAAGCAGGTAGGCATTTAGCAGTTATACTCTATTTGATGGGAGCTAAGAAAATAACAATAAATAAAGAACAGCGCTGGACCAGTCTTTAAAGAAAGTATACATCCCTGTTTACTTTAGTTGAACATAATTTTTTGGTTCTTTTCTACTTTATAGTCTAGACAAGGCTACTTGCTAGGGTCGTAGGTGCAACCGTATCCAGTATTTTTTTTAACATCGAATAAAAAAATCAAGATTCATGCAGTTGAGAAATTAAGGGTTTAGGTCCGCGCGTGGCAGCCCACAATACGACGGCCCACCGGGAAAATTCCCGGTACCCTTTGGGCCCATCCGCCCTGTATAATAGTGTATTCCTGATCTGGAAGCCTAAATGTCCCATAAAGATTCTCACTAGAAGGGTAAAGAATTTTCTCGGAAAACGTCAATATAGAAAGCAGTTAACCCTATTTTCATATCGATTATTGCAGAACTTACATATATTGATGAAGATGAAAATTTCGAACAAGGTATAAATTGCTTAAATATTCTGGAACCATGAAAGATATAAATACGAGGTAAATTGGAACAAGGATTCATTTATTAAGGTTAGATTAAGTCAGTTCAATACAGTACGATTACGGTCATTAGTCAGTTACAATTCATTAAATTTAGTGACCAAAAAAATAGAATCATCAAGAAATTAGTCCAAGACAGTTTATAATATAATTAAGAGTCAAATACAGTATGGAAGTATGAGAGTAAATTAAGACAGTTTTAGTTCAATACAGTGATAGTTAATTATAGTAAAGTATACAGGTGACCAGATATGGAGGTAATTCAATAAAGAAGTAAAGCAGTCAATTGTACCAGCACATATATACAGTAAATTTGAAGTATATAATATGGAATTTACCAAAAATTTTAAATTATAAACTCTATCTGGGTGAGTGGAGAATATAAAGAAGACACATATTTAAATTTGTTTGGCAAGCGGATAATTAAAAATATTATTGGAGTATATTTGCAAAAAGCACATTTCACAAATACAAGGGATAACTGGAGGCTATTTAATAAGAAGATTGAGTTGTGATTAATAACTTTGATATTTGGTGGAAAACTTTAAGGCATTACAGAGATAGAAAGGTCCCAAAATTTGTTAATATACAATAAATAAATGTAAAGAATTTCAAATTTTAGATAGGTTGTTTTAAATTTAATATTGTTTATATAAGATATAAATGCACTGTTATCAAAATAGTTATAATAAAGATAATTTCAAAAAAAGTACTTACAAACTAATTCTGTGGAGAACCGCAATAAAAACCCAATACTTAATATATAATAAATGATAATATAGATTATATAATTATAAAAATATATATATAGATATATTATATAGATATAAAATAATTAATATAACATAAACATACTTAAATAGAGGTTAAAGAAATAATATTATAAGTTATATACTCACTGACATATTATCAAAAAATTATTATATGAGGGTATTTTTGAAAAATTCAGACATAGGATTAAGTAAAAACGAGTTTTTTTTATTGTATTTTATTTTATAAATAAACTATATTTAATGTGAGGCCATGTGCATCAGGTCATATCCCAATCTCACACTGGTGTATATTTGACATTTAGGGATGGAGAAGTGGGATTATTTTATTGAGTATGGGATGGTTTAAATTAAGAAATATAAGTACGGATGTAAAATAGTGAAAATGTATTCGTTTAATGATATTTAGTTTATATTATAATAGTGTATTCCTGATCTGGAAAGCCTAAATGTCCAGAAGCAACTCACTAGAACTTTCCTAGAAAACGGCAATAAGCAGGGCAGTAACCCGATTCGCATAGGTGTTGCGAGTAATCCAGAACTTTCGTAAAAGGATAAGAGGAAGATGTTAGAACAACGGTTTAGTTGTCTAGAACAGTCTGTGAACAAGAAAAATGAAATAAAAACGCGGTAATTTGGAACAGGCAGCAGCTTAAGTCAGATAGAAGTCCTGGCATTAAGTTACAGGTCAATTATTAAGTGTACAGTTAACTAAGTCATGTACAGTCATTATTAAGTTAGTAGAAAGGCATTAATTAAGTAAGAGGAAGTCTATCAGTCAGTTACAATTAGATTAAGTTATAGAAGAATTCCATGAAGTGATTAAGTTAAATGAAGTGAGAAAAAAGGATATAAGTGAGATGAAGTCCAGTCAGTCCAGGTTACAATTCAGGTCATTAAATTAGATTTATACAGAAAGTTAGTTTGTTAAGACAGATTATAATTAAATTAAATTGAAGAAGAAAGGATATACCTTTAGAAAAATTCATTATGTCAGAATACAGTTAGAAGAGTATAAGAGTAAATTAATTCAATATAGTATAGTTCCAATACAGAAGGATAGTTTATATTATATGGAAAATTACAAGAATTTAATATTAATAATATCTTATATGCCAATTTCACAAATACACTCGAAAACCGATCGCTGAGTAAGAAGATATTTAGTGGTGATATAGTAACGGTCTTGAGTTTAGGAAAGCTTTAGCATTCAGTGATAGAACAAGGTCCCATTTTATAGGTTGTATATTATGAAGTAGTTAAAGAACTTGTACGACTAAACCAATGGTTAGTATAAGTTATTTTAAATTTATATATTGTGTCTATTCGAGATATAGGGATGTTCATGTTTCATAATAAGTTATAATAAAGGATAATTTAAAAAGGAAGTACATACAAGCTAATGGCGTTTGAGAACCAAGTCGAGTAAAAACCCCTAGACTGCCATATAACTTTATGGTATAAACACTACATTGTCGTATATACAAACAAAACCATCAGAAAACAATTTATAGAATATATATCTATAATATAACTAGAAATATATATATCATCGAGCAATGTATTAAGAGTATATAAAGTCAAAAAAAATCAATTTATACCACTAGGGCTCTGCAAAGTATTTATTACCACTTTTCGGAAATAACTTTATCAACTAATATATCAAACATGATGATGCAAATATGAAATTCAATAACTGTACGTAATTACATATATTTACTTTTCTATTTGTTATAAATACCTTACATTTAATTATAAATATTAGTTGACTTGTCCTTGTTAAGGCCATGTTTGCTTCATGACTATATTACGCATTAAGCACCTGCCAGTATTGAGTGTATTTGAGGATTTGTTACAAGTGATCAAAATAATCCATGAACAAGAAAATATTAAATTATAACATTAAACCTTTATTCTGGTACCTACATGAATGAAATGTAAATGTATAAAAAAAAACAATAACAATTTAAGGTTTCTAAAATTAACGTACAATAAAATTGTTTATTCAGAACTGTCAGTCAAATAGCGAGCCTGGATAATGTGTTATTTTACCCCTGTTGATGGTGTTCAAAGACATGAAAAAAATTATGAACATGGGATGTATTAGGGTTCTAAACGGGCCCATGTATAGCCTATATTCATGTAGCCCACAGAAAAGTTGGCATGACTTGTTTGTATGTATAACACTTTGGAGGGTCTTAGGTAAACATCGTCTGTTATTAGCGACGATCGGAGAAATCAATGGCAACGGAATGGCTCATCCTTATACCGAAGGTCAATTTCTATAAAAAACATTTTTGCTGGCTTCTCTTGTATATCTCAACCAACGAAGTAGTCTTGTCCATTAATGAAGAAAACCCGATCCGTCATCTCATCCGTTGGTCCTTAAAAACAGAACTATCATTTGGAGAGAGCTGCAATAATGCTAATCTAAAAAATCCTTGTGATATTCAGATCAACAACACTGAAACTTTTTTTTCTTTCCACATGTGCCGAAACGTAGCTGGACCAGTCGTACGGGCGTAGAAATTGGCATTTGCAAAGTGTTTTTTTTTTGGCTTTTTCAATCATCCCGTGGTCATACATCGCATATCTCAAGATGAACTGTGTACCACTCACCATGAATGTTATGATCTAAGCATTGGCAGTTGGAGGGACATTTTGTGCATTAGAGGTTAAAAACATGTGCTGACTAACAATGAGAGGTTCCTGTTTGTTGATCCTCCGCCCGAATCAGCCCCCCACCCCAGTCCTACAATATGACGTTTTAAATTGATATTGTGGAGAGAAGAAAGTTCTTGATAGAGGCAACTCACGCAAGTTGTGGTTATCACAACATCTGCCATCCATTCCGCCTCAAGCCCACATGGAGCACTTAACGCCCCACTACCTTGTATTTAAATGTGCATAGTAAAGGTAAAAAGTCCACAACTGCCTCTTGTATAAGGCTACCTGATCGTAGGAAGGGTAGAGGTGTTAGGCATAACATTGCCTGTAAGAGTCAAACTCAAAGCAAAGTTTCTCATATACTTTGGGTTAGCTTAGCATGTGTCTACTTAGTCTTCCTTTTTCATGTCATACCGCTAAACGCTGCGGTCGTAAGGTGCATGTTTCGTGGCAATATCCACAATCTACGTTCAGTGTCATTTGGAGAAGCAATGGGGTTGTAATCTTCATCAGAGAGTGACACATTTGTGACACGTATCCGACTCTTTGGTGTGTTTGAATGGAAATATTTTGCTTAAGAGATATTCACGACTTACAAGATATTGCTCTAGATAGCAGGGTGGATGGACTAGTATGTCTGGGCACGGTACAGCGATACATAATTGCTAAATTTAAATAGGGTGGATAGATATTTTTTCACCTTTTCTTCTTGAGTATGTGACTCGTATGCTGGAAATGAGTTTATGTGATCTGAATATGTTTAATTCTCACATCGAAATTTTTGATGGTGGAGGTTCTTGGCTCTTTGATCACATTTTGGATAGCCCTGATTGTGACTTGAGAGATGAAGAATGGCAAGGACACGAACATATTAGTTTCACACTAGTACCCATTCAGAAAACAACCGCGACATACTTGCTTTTTGTACCATTTATTTTAAAGAAAAAGTTATGTGTCCACTGCCTAAACGTTTCTTTATTTGGGAAGCATCCTGTTCGTTTACGCTAGTTTTAGTTCAATACTTTCAACCATGTTTGACACAAAATTGCCCTTTAATCACGCTAACCAAGACTCCAGTACATCCTTGAAAATTTTTTTTGTATCTCGATGGAGAGTTTCTCTTGCAGTTTGCTCGACAACTGCCCAAAGCTTCATTACTCTGGCAGTTTTTCTTTACCATCCAGTGTTACATACCTCTGGCCAGCATTTCGTTGCTGAAATTTCTCAATTCTTCATCTTTTTAATACGAGATTAAGCTGGTTACAGCAGATATGAGGTGCTAATATTATTACATGAGTTGACTCTCGTTGTCTTTTTCGCTCTTCTGTGCTCCTTGTAGTGTGGAGAAAAACTTCTATATCTTCCCTCAGAACGCAGAATTATTATCCATTTGGTAATGATTTATTGGCTCCCCACGTATTACTTTCATTTTCACCTGCTAACAAAAAATAATTTACTTATTAAAGAAGGGACCATTCTTGCTTATAAACATACTACTCATGTAAATGTCTAATTTACTTCTAAAAATTCATGGACAACATTCTCTATTTCTTGTATGGTGCCCTCGCAATGTCATCGGAATTAGTTCTTGCATCGTTTCAAAACCAATCGGTTGGTCAGGAGCATTTCGGTTAATAATCAATTAATTCTCCAATATCTGTATTTTGTTGTGTGGTAGCTTCAGTAAGCTCACATGTACTTTGTGTCAAGGGTTCAATTTGATTACAATGCCTAAAAAGCACATATGTACTATAAGTACAAAATATTAGGTATTTATCTACAGATACCTATACAAGGAGTTCTTACCATTATGGGATCTATGTCATCTCAATCCCAATAATTCTTCCCGTAGTTGAATCAATAACACTTTTGATTCAATAGTTGATTGAGACTTAGTCCTAGGCATTTCGTTATACCCTGCAAGCAGCAAAGAAAATATGTTAAATGTTGGTGTAAAAATTTCATCCATTGGTTAGTCAACTTTTAAACAAATAAAACAAACTTAACTCACCTAATTTGTAGATGAAGAATTCAATCCTTTTGTTCTAATAATTTTTAGAATTTGCTTTCCTCTACTCCATTAAAATATAAAAAAATTTTATAAGAACACTGAACTTTCACAGCAACCTACTTTAAGAACACTTAAATAAAAAAAATACTTAATTATTCATGTTTTTGTTTTAAATGGGATTTTAGCTATTTTTATAATTTTCTACTCAGTATTTCGAAAAATTAAGAAACAATTTATAAACAATAACAATAAACTACCTTCTTAAACTTTGACAGAACGAAAGTATAAACAGTTGCCAAGTTACAACTACTACCGAACTCTGCACACTCATAACCTCGAAATTATCCTTTTCGCACCACTTTTAAATTTGTTAATTCATTGAAATTTTATGCTTAAATTTTGATTATTTACATTTTTTCAATACAAACGCCCTCCCAATGTCTCAAATTTTGTTTTTCCTTTTTATTTTTATAATTTCCTTTTGTACAAAAAGCTACAATATGGAAAAATTTCCATTGATCTGCATCACTGACTAGAAACACCTAACACGTTATAAAATACTAGGAGTATAAGTCAAGCTGCATAAGTGAAAACGGAAGGTACTAACAATATAAGTTTGACTATACTCTTAATACAAAGCAGACTATTTGAAATTAGAAGTTATACTGTTGGAATAAAATCAATATTTATATATGAAAAACAGCTATTGACTTATACTCCTAGTACAGAAATAACTAATAAACATCAAAAATTCAAATATAGAAAGAATCCCAAAACGTCTTTTTTTGACTTATACTCTAGTACGTAGCACGTTAGATAATTAATATATATATATATATATATATATATATATTATATATTATATATAAATATAATATAATATATATATAAATATATATATATAATATATATATTACTTGATATATATATATATATAATATAAAACTATTTTTTTAAGTTTGAACATTTTGCAGTACAGGTCTCAAGAATCTGTGAGACCAGACTTTTACTGCATGCTGCAAATCAAAGTAATCATATTTTTATGTAAATATTTAATTTTTAGACGTTTTACTTCGTTGCTAATTGGAGTTCCAGAGTCTTTCAAGATCAGTATTATTGTAACTTGTAAAATAGATTTGGAAAAGTATAAACCAGTTGATCCAATTGTTTTAAGCGGACAGTTCGTAAGTAAATTTTCTATGGTTCTAAAACTGTTATCTAGTAGCATGTCTAAGCTAAATATTGTTTATGTGAAATCCCACAATTGATTGTAATGATATTTTCATTGTATAATTGTTTTTAGACATTTCGATTGGCCTCGATTTTTTAGGCAAATAGCCATGGTTTTAGTTGAAAAATTGTATTTATGTCCCCAGGATAATACCAAGTTCTAATTACGCTGTAAAACACACGTTTTGTCCCATGCAATATTTCCACTATTTCTTGTGTAGTTTGATGATTAGAATTCAAATATGCAATCAAAAAAAGTTTATTTAAAAATTATTTATACTTCATCTAATTTAATAACGACTTACGTCATTATCTTACGTCAGAGATCGAAGTGACATAGTTGCCAAAGTATAAAAAATCCTAACTCCATTTTAAAACAAATAGGTTCACATAGTTAATGCAAAAGTATACCATCTCTTAACAACGACAAATTTAATTCTTACGTGACAATTTGAAATAAAACACACTAATTTTGTTCTAAAAAGAACAGATTTTATTAAATAGGTAAAAATATAAAACAAGAGTATTCACTTTAAAATTTAAAATAATAAAGTACAAAAAGTGTCAGCACCGCAACTGTCAAATAGTGTTACCAATTAATGCCAAAATTTTACCTTCGTTCGATACAGTTACAGTGTATTCCGAACAAATGTTCTTGATAAAAACGCTTTATAATGCATTTATACAAATAAAAATGAAACATATTAATTGTTGTATTTCTTTAAGTTAACATTAATAGAAATTTGGTAAATATTATTTCAACGCGTATATAAGAAAATATGTCTAGTGCTGTAATGCCAGTGTACTCGTTAAAGTGATTCTAAAAAGAACACACCTAAACCCTAAATATTTCGTGTTGGTATCATATGACGTCACAGGCTATGACGCCGATGACGTGCATCGTTATATAATTAGATGAAGTTTATAAAAGGTATATAATTAAATCACCCTATCGGGTTACATCACAGAACGTTTTCGGAATTGATATTCCATCATCAGTGTTATCCTAAAAGTATATAACCACTTTAATTAAAGCAAACATGAAATTTAAAATTTTGACCAAGGTTAATACAAAATGTGATTAATACTTACTAGATGTACATGTTTTGAGCCACTAAGTACTTGCGTAAAAACCCGTTAAATGTTGTTAAATTGAATTGAAGTTATATTATTTGATCTTATATGCTAGTTTCAGTTACAACATTGATTTACAACACTGAATAAGAATTAATAACATGGCAACATAAGACTCCACTGGAGGTTGCTAGTCCTGATACAAAGTGTCTACGAGGTCTTGTTGATAGCAACTGATTGAAATGACAATAATGACATGTTAGCAAGAGCGCTCACCAAACTCACATGACATGTAACATGGCAGTAACATAGCACGGGCATGGCACTGGCGTGGCAGGTAGCGCATATTAAAGTAGCATGATATTAAAAAGGCTTGTTAAATTCAAAATGTCATCCTCTGAGAATTAAGTTATGCTTACGCTTTTAAACGTCAACAATATGAACAAAACTCGTCCACAACGTCAGTTTTGGGTACACCGTTATTGGAAAGAGATGTAAGGGCATAGTGGATTAAATGTATTTAAAGAATTAAATATGTATCCGGCGAAATTTCAATCCATTTGCAAAATTCCGGATTTGCATTGTCATAAATACCTGAAAATTTCTCAATTAATGCGACAAAACTAATATTAAATTCTGGACTGTCTTCCATATTTAAATTTTTCAACAAACACATATACAAAATGCAAGTAGCACGTGGCAAAAAGTAGAACAAGCTCTATTTTTAACGACGTGCCGTAGCAATCTGCATGATACCACTGGCATTGTCATTTTCGTAAGCGCTGAACAATATGTTTGCATTGATTACATTTTAAGTAACATATGTTACTGTTACACAACAGAGAACTGTTTTGAACATATTATGTACAACAACTTTTTTTAAATATTTTTCACTCTAAATCTTTGTCTCCTGATGAAGCTGACAAAAATCAGCGAAATATAGAGCATTAAAAAGAAAACAGACCGCATACCCGATACTCCAACACAGTAAATTGTTATTTACGTTTTGGTCGATAATCTTACCAGTTTTGCTGTATATATATATATATATATAATATATATATATATATATATATATATATATATATATATATATATATATATATAAATTCTTAAATTTACTATTTCGTTGTGGGTTAATATTATATTCAACAGCCATGGGCGGATCTAGGGGGGGCACAGGGAGCACGTGCCCCCCCCCCCCAAGCCCTCATAAGCCAGCCATAGACTGAACTTGGTCATTAGCAAGGCTTGTACAATCCCTGCCATAAGAAATGCTGTGGAGTGGTTTCATCCGTAGCCAACTTTTTAGAGAGTCTGCCAAGAGACACATGCACTTAATTAAAATTAATGTTTCTTGGGTTTAGGTTCAATAAAGATATGTTACATGTGGAACTAGATTTTATTTTCCATTGCAATCTAGCCTTTGTCATCAAGATTCTAAAATGTATATAATATATATAATATATATATATATATAAATATATATATATACATGTATACATTATATACTAATGACAGTAAACAATGAGATATCAGATATCAACTTTTATATGTCAGTTCGTTAATCTCTGTGTCACGTTTTACGTTTTGGTAAGTCATATATATATATATATATATAATATAAATATATATATATATATATATATATAATATATATTCATAATATATATATATATAACATTTTAGAATCTTGACAAAGGCAAGGGTTTCCTGCCGAAACGTTGATTGATTGCAAGGGAAAATAAAATCTAGTTCCACATGTAACATATCTTTATTGAACCTAAACCCAAGAAACATTAATTTATATATATATATATATATATATAATATATATATATATATATATATATATATATATATATATTCTTAGAAAGGGCTTTAGTGACTATGTGAGTAATATATACGGATATATTGGGTTTAGTAGTCAATATATTGGCCTTTAAGTAAAACTCTTTTAGGTTTATATATATATATATATATATATAATATATATATAATATATATATATATATGTATGTATATATATATATATATATATATATATATATATATATATATATAAGAGTAAGAAAAAAGAAGTATATATATATATATATATATATATATATATATAAATATATATATATAATTGTGTGTGTGTGTGTGTTTTTATGGGTTGGAGTCAATAAAAGGGCTATTGGAAAACTATTCTTTATGTCAAGCTTTCAATTGTGTTTACAATTTTTATCAAGAGCTTGTAAAAAATACAAAAAATCTTACAAAATGAAACTAGAAAAATAAATTTTAACTCACCAATAAAATTAGTTTTGTTATTAAATCTAAACTGTTTATCATGCTAAAAAACTATTTTAAAAAATATTTGATAATGACTGTTCCTCTAAATTTAGTAATTTTGAAATACTTTTTGACCATAATAATTGAATTTGTAAATAAATTAGAATAGCGACCAATTACAAACAGCCTCAATGTCATGAATGCCAACTTACAATTTTCATTTTTGACAATTATATTGCCAAAAAATAAAATTTTATTTAAAAAATTATTTTTTATTTAGTAATAAAAAAGAAGATTACTTCATCATTGATAGATGTTTAAACAATGTAACAAGTATATGGAATATTAAATTAAAATGTGATATCTTAATGAATAAACTATAGAGAAATAATATAATTATAAATTTTGCTTAGATTTTGCATTATCACTTCTGCTAACCATTTCCAAAAAAGTTCTTTTAAATGTATTACTTTCATTACATACAATTTTAATGTTATGAAAATCCATAATATGGTCTTTGTCGATTACATGCTGTGCTAAAGCACAAGATGATTTTTTAATTCTAGTCACTTTTGTGGGAAATAATACGGTTTTGACAGATTCCTTCCGGTCTCAACGACATACACAGCTTCACACTGAGTATAACTAATGCTGTATACTACATTTGTTTTATGTAATTTGTCTATAGTATACTTAGGTTTGGAATATAAAGATGAAATAGTTTTGATGTTCTTTGTTGCTATTTTTATATTGTCAATAACCTTTAGTGTTTGTATTAATTTATCAAGTGACATGGGAAGAGGCTAGTATATATTTAAAAATACTGCTTAACAATAGCTTTGAATATATTATGGATACAATTTCTTTCGAAGTATACATTTTTACTATTAGACCAAGAACTTTATACATATCTTTTTTTCATATATGCTTTTCAGATACAATCTACATAGAAAATTTATCGTGTTACTTTAATATTTATTTGTATTTTAGATTTGTGGGGATTTTGGATATTTACATGTATCCAAAGTGGATAAAGATCCACGTTTTATCCAAACTGGTATTTGCAAAGAAGAAGTCGTACGACTTATGCTGAAACGAAATCAACAACTTATTATACAGAAGTTTAAAACCTTGGCGTCTTTATTACAGATCGAAAGAGAAAAAAATATTTTTAACCAGTGTAGCATACTAGATAAGGTAACCAAATGTATATAATTTATTATTGATTTTATCTATTTCATATGTCCGATCGCAATCAAACGTCATAGTTTACTAATATGCCATTGGAGCGGGTAACGAGAACACCACGCTCGTCTTCATTTTCAGCGGTATAGCTGTAACCTTTAGCATTTGGTATTTGCTTTGATTTGTTGCTATGAAGTATCCCATAACTGTTATGTATTTGTCATCAGTATTGTCTTCGGTGTCGATTATCGGCGATGTTCGTATTTCTACACCTTGAGGTAGGACCTGCCTTGCCTTTTCTATCGGCTTGGCGATGTGTCCTGGCTTCATTATATCTATAAAATGCCGGTGGTTGTATTAATTCGTATATTTGTATGTATTTCTGTATTAATTTCATTACTTGTTGAGCTATCGTTTGTATTCTAAATGTAATGCATTATTTTTCTAATGTCTTTGTTTTCTCCATTACGGCATTAAGCTCTTGAGATATTTCTTGCATCGCTTTTGTGAGTGCAACTTGAAATCTATTAAGGTGTCTGTTTATCCTTGTTTCCGTATAGTTAAGCAATGCTACTGTTTCTAACATAATCTTTTTTGATGTTGTGCTTCTTTTATTAGTTCTCTTTGATTCTTGTCGAGTACCTCTATATCCCTATATGCTTCATCCACTCCAAAAAGATATGTTAGTACAGTTCCTAATACTCATCTCTTTTTCCTTTCTTTATTTCGATTGGCAGTGATTTACTTTTTGCTCTTACTTTTTCGTCATTAAATTTATCTAGTATGTCACCACAATTTATTATCTTTGTAGTTAAACACATGTCATAAAATCCTTGTATCATTTTCCTATCATTTGTTCGTCTTCTCGAATTCTGCGTTTCTCCAGTTGTACCTTTAGTCTAAAATTTCGCCTGGTCTATCACCACATCTAATGTTTGTATATTTTCTGATAATGATAATGACAGTATCTAATACCGTCATTATGTTTTGTATATTTTGTATAATTCTGCGTCAGAGGATTGTAATAATGTTAAAAACATTAACGGTATTAATACTTTTTTCACCGTTTGGCCGGGCTAATTTTCGGTTTTTCTTGGTTTTCTTCTTCGAGTCTTATTCATTTATGTATCGTTCTCTTTATTAGTTTCCCGTTAGCTCTTTTTAGTGTAACTACTCTTGTTAGTCCCCCAGAACTTGGGTGAGTGTCTACTACTCTAGCTAACGTGCATTTTTCTGGGGATGTTTCTTCTTCTTTTAATATGACTACTGCATCATCTTTTATGTTCTATTGTTTCTTCTGCCATGTGTTTCTCTGTTGGAGTTGGTGTAAGTATTCCTGTCTCCATGTATTCCAAAAATCCCGTTTCATTTTCCCTAACAGTCTCCATCTACTGGGCATGGTTAGATAGATTAATAATTCCTTTTCCCTATTTGATGAGATAATATCCTTTCATATTAGGAAATGTGGGTCCTCTGTAGCAGTACATAATGGTCTTTGAGGTTATACAAGCTTCTATTTGTGCTAATACCGTGCTTAATTCCTCGTCTGTTAGCACTGTTTCTCCTATGACTCACGTAAGGTGGTGTTTCGTTATTCGTACGGCACTTTCTTACAGTCGTCCGAAGTGTTGTGCGTATGCGGGTATGACATGCCATTGTGTACCAAGTCTAACCATAGTTTGTTGTATCTTGTCGGTCATTTGTTTTCTTTCGTTTCCTAATATATTGGTAGCTGCTATGAATGCCGTTCCATTGTCGCTGTATATATTACTGCACTGTCCTCGTCGTGCTGTGAATCTTTTAAATGCTGCGATAAATGTATCTGTGGTAATATCGCTTACGATCTCAAGGTGTACTGTAACTTGTGTGTCCTTTGCCTTTTGTAGTACTTATTCGAATTGGTCCCGCGTAATCTACCCCTGTGTTTGTGAATGGATGTGTCAGGTAAAGTCTCTGTTTGGGTCTCCCATCAATTGCTGTGGAGCTTATCCTTTGTAACGTTTACATTTTACGCAGGTGTTAATTCTTGCTTTTACGGTTATTCTACCATTAATTATACAGTATTTCAATCTTATGCAGTGTAATGTCTGTTGCAGTCCACTATGTAAGTTTATTGCTTGACTCTCCTCAATTATTAGTTTAGTCAGTGTACTTTTATTTGATACTATTGTAGGATGTTTCGATAAAAATGTCAACGATGCACCTCTAGTTTCTTAGCTATATTAGGATCGGAACCGAGATATGTAAAATATCTCTGATAGGAACTAATCGTCTCACAAATAGGCAATTGACATCAAAATGATTTATGGAGGGGAGAACAAGGGGAAATATAATTGTTATCTTTGTCTATTCGCTAAAAATATGATTTTATATCTGTGTTAGATATCCTGTTAAATTTTACCATACCGACCATAAACTTTTACCTACACTGGATAGCGACATATGTATGTATTCAATAAAATACGGAGGGCATTAATTGGTTATTGTGATCTTAAAGAAGCTTGAAAAATGTGACATTTTAACATATACAAATCATCGAGTTAGAATCTATGGAGAGAGCATCACGTGACTAAATACGATCTCACTTCGGCCATATTGGTATGATCTAACTGGTAAGCTGGTTTTGTATGTTTTCAATAAAATTGATAGTGTGTAAAATTATTTAATAATTAAGCTAAGTATACTTTCGACATAATAAATGTCATCATCAGAGCTATCCTAAAATAACGTTAAGTTAAGTAAATTTTTTTATATAAAATACAATGATAGAAAAAACTTACGTCAATTAGGTAATAAATACTTCATAGAAGGACAATTGTGCACAAACGACATATTCACATTTAAAAAGTTTTTATAAAAACATGGTTACCACATACAGTAACGACAACAGCTGTCTTTGACTTACATTTTTGAAGTAAATTGAAAATGAAATAGGAAGCTCGGATATACGGAAATAAATCCTAGAGCGACCTCTGTATTTAAATTATTAATTAAAAATTGAAAATGTCTAAAATGACGTCTGAATGTTATTGATTATTAATTTTAGCTACTGTAGAATTTTAAATTTAAATATTTTAAATTGATTAGTTAAGGTGAAGATTTAAATATACATTTATCAAAATTATCAAAAAACAAAACTTTAAAGTTTGACCAAATAGAAGAAAGTAGATGAAAAACCAACCAAGGAGAAGTATCATTTGCTAAGTTAAGAGTTCAACAGCTATTATTGATTATCGATATTATTAATAAAATAAATAATGAAGAAGAAAATATCAAACATTCTCTATGTAGATGAAATCAGTGAAAGAAAGTATAAGAAAATCTCTCTTTTAAATCTCTTTTTTAAAAATAAGGGTCAAAGCTTGATCAAATGATGGTTAATTTTATACTAAGTGTATTATTAAAGAAACTTCTTAAAAATAGGATCAAACTTACAATTTAAGTTAATTTGAGTGTTGACACAATTCTGAGGATTCCTTTTCATTTCTCTACTGATTTCAAGATCTTCTAGTAAATGCATTTTTATATAATTATTATTGGGTATACTGTGTAGAATCTTACTATCTCTATGAGGACTAAAGCCATGCTTTGAAACATGTATATGATTCCCAAAACTAGATTTATCAATCTTAGACAAATGTTCTTTGATGCGTATATCCAAAGGTCGCATTGGTCTACCCACATAGGTCACCGGCATTCACCACAGGATAATTTATAAATACCACTTTTTGACGATTTGTTAATTTTGTCTTTAGTGTGGGAAAAAATAGATTTGATATTTTCTTTAACTTTGAAAGAAAGTTTTAGATTAGGGATGTTTTTTAAGATTCTGGCTATATTGTCTGAGGGATAACCTAAGTACGATATTGATCGATAAATAACTGTCGAGTTAAAAATATTATGGACAGTGTTGTATGCTAGTGATCTATTCCTTTTATTCCTTAATTTGTTGAGTATGTTATCAACCAAAGTAGGGGTGTAACCGTTACTATAAGCAAGTTGTTTAATAATTTCTAATTCTGATTTAAAATTTGAATCTGACAGAGGTAAGCTAAGTAAACGATGGATATAGCAATAAAAGGAGGCCATTTTCTGTTGAAAAGGATGATTAGAAGATCTAGGGATGGTATGGTCAGTCTGAGTTGGTTTTCTGAAGACTGAAAAATTTAATTTATTATCTATTTTAGTTAATGTTAGGTCTAGAAAATTAATAGAATTGTTGGATTCTGTTTCTAAGGTGAATTTTATAGCTGGATGTAAGTTGTTAAGTGAAACTAGGATATTGTCTGCATCTGAGGAATTTCCATCAATGATAGCTAACACATCATCCACATATCTGAACCAATATAAAACTTTTTGAAACGGGTTTTGATTCAGAGAAAGATTGTCAAAGATATTAATCTCCAGGTTATTCAGAAATAGATCTGCTAGCAAAGGTGATAAGGGATTGCCCATTGCCAATCCTTGTGCCTGTTTATAAATAATATTGTTGAAAGAAAAGAAATCTTGTGAAAGACAAAATTTAAGTAAACCCAATATGTGAAAAATTGTATCTCTATTTATGTTGTTTTTAATAAGTAATTTCTCAACTATGGAAATGGTTTCATCTCTAGGTACATTTGTAAACAAATTACTTACATCAAAGGAAACTAGAAAAAAGGCTCTAGGTAAATTTAAAACTGACAATTTATTAACTAAGTCTGTAGAGTTTTTGACAGAAAAAGTGGGTTGAACAGATATTGAGGATTGTAATATAGAATTGATGAATTTGGACAATTTAACAACTGGTGTGTTATAAAAACTAACCACTGGTCTCATAGGGGTGTTAGGTTTATGAATTTTTGGTAAACCATATAGTCTTGGTATTTGTGGATTTGACAAAATGAAGGTTTTCTCTATCCTGTTATGTGATTGTAGGAAATCTTTATGTTTAGATAAAATTGCTTTAAGGTTAGTAGCTAGTTTATTTAGAGGATTTCTATCTAGAATGTCAAAGTTATTATTTCTTAGAA